CTCCCCCCACCCCCTCCCCACCACCGATCTTGAGTCACCCTCACAGAACAAAAGAAAAAAAAACGGACATGTATCCCGGTACATCGAACTGAACGTTTATGTAAAATAAAAACACCAGTATGTCCTTTTCTCGTTTGAAAAGGTGTATGAGTGCCAGCCAGTAAGCATACAGTCGGAGAGTATGTTTTGTATTTCAGTTTTTAGTTATTGAAAGTTTGCTGCCTTATGTCAGTGGGTTTTTTGCACATAAATTACAAGTCATTTTTTAAAGTACGTTTAATCTTAATCGTTTATAATTACTACCTTACAACGCTACTTAAGTACGGATAAATATCTTTCACGGATTAGTGTAAGACTTGTTTAAAAAGCGTGATATTGGCTTTACACGACCACACCTTATACAAAAGGCTGCGGTACTTACAGTGAATGAGTCATTTAATTTATTTCGAGTGAGGAACGAATATCGAGCAAACATAACGGGATAGGAACAAGAGGCAATACTGCATTTTATTCAAAACTGACTGGAACTAAACACAATGGTAAATACGATTTTGAAATCAATTAATAACAACATTGTATAATAACTATGAGCAGTTTGTTAATTTTTCTTAATTTATTTCATATGTACAATGGGAAAATTTAAGCTCTGGATCTTACTGCACTTGTACAAGAAGATCCATGACCTGTTCAGGGGAATAGTCCCTTCTGTTTTTGTGTTTCCTCGGTTCATTTTGTGGTGTTTTGTGTTTATGTATCCTGTGTTTTAGCTGTTGTCTTTTGTATTTATGTATCCCGTGTTTTTGGTTGTTGTCTTTTGTATTTATGTATCCTGCGTTTTTGGATGTTGTCTTTTGTATTTATGTATCCTGGGTTTAAGCTGTTGTCCTTTGTATCTATATATCCTGTGGTTTGGTTGTTGTTTTTTTCCTGTGTTTTGGTTGTTGTTTTTTGTATTTATGTATCCTGTGTTTTGGTTGTTGTCTTTTGTATTTATGTATCCTTTGTTTTAGCTGTTGTCCTTTGTATCTATATATCCTGAGTTTTGGTTGTTGTTTTTTTCCTTTGTTTTGGTTGTTGTTTTTTGTATTTATGTATCCTGTGTTTTGGTTGTTGTCTTTTGTATTTATGTATCCTTTGTTTTAGCTGTTGTCCTTTGTATCTATATATCCTGAGTTTTGGTTGTTGTTTTTTTCCTTTGTTTTGGTTGTTGTTTTTTGTATTTATGTATCCTGTGTTTTGGTTGTTGTCTTTTGTATTTATGTATCCTTTGTTTTAGCTGTTGTCCTTTGTATCTATATATCCTGTGTTTTGGTTGTTGTTTTTTTCCTGTGTTTTGGTTGTTGTTTTTTGTATTTATGTATCCTGTGTTTTGGTTGTTGTCTTTTGTTTTGTTTCTTCTTTGATTGTGCTCGTCTATTCGTATTGACAGATGTGCTGACACAATGCAATAGCTCCCATCCTTCCATGGCTTGTTTTAACTAAATATGCGCATTTTACGATTTCTGGTAGTAGTATTACGCGCTATTGTGTATTATGTACATGTGTATGGATGTCGGTGAGTGTCACAGTTATGTCTTTATAAACCATTGTATATACTACATATATGAATTTTACAAAGCGTTTCTTTTCATAACAGGCAAACACAAATATCCTAACAGCGGACGATTTGAAACGTGAGTTTAATACATGTAGCCTTGATTTCTGTAAATTATTTTATTTGCTTTCATGCTTCTGATTTTTCAATTCTGCAAATGGATTCGATAAACTATTGTCTCTGATAACTTGATGAAAATGATAGTGTAACGGACCTGTTTCTTATGAATACTTTACCGCTTCTGTTCAAATTATGTTCAATTTGAACAAAATCCTTAAAATATTTGTGCAAAATAGACACATGTAGTGTGAAGAGTAGCTGAGGGAATTCAAGGATGTTTCTAGTGATACAAAATTTAAAAAAAAAATATACTCGTTTTCAATTTATTTTTTCTGATCATGGATGATTACGGATTGTAAACGACTCCGTGTCGGCGTCAGAGAAGAGTGGAGGAATCAGTTAATGCATTCCCTATTCTAATTCTGTTATATCAAGATTTAGATGTGAATGTTTTTTCAATACATTTTATTTAAATGATTCTTGTTGAAATTGGAACTGCTGAGTATTAACTGATCACTCTCTTGTGTTTCACTGAGACTGTTCGGAGGGGGGATTAACTGATCACTCTCTTTTGTTTCACTGAGACTGTTGGGAGGGGGGATTAACTGCCCGGACTAGAATAAAGAACAGCACTACTTCCGAAATGCGTAATTATGTTAAATTCACAAGGCAGCGGATTTAAAGTTAAAAAATAAAAACAAAATCAAATTATCTTTTTTTCCAATTTTTGTTTATCTAAGTATATATTTTATAAAAGTGTATTCAGTTTTTATGGTGATTTACTTTGTGTTTCTCTAATGTAGACTTTTTAGCGAAACCAGGAGTTTCAAATCCGGTGGCGTGCCACTTCTCATGTATACATTCAATCAGAAATGACACACAACAGCCACCACGCTAATGTCTTAACTATCGCCTTTATTGTTTCTGGTTGGTCTTCTACTTCTTCTACTTCTAAATGGTACTGACCAACTTCAACAATTTGAAGATAAAATGTCAGATGAGGAGTGAAACATGGAAAGAGATTGTTTTTAAAAGATACGAGATGGTCTAATTTGAGTTTGAAAGGTGACGGTAGAGGGCTGATTTGAATAATTCCGTTGTTGGGCTCGAAATAATGCCAGGTGGGAGTTTATTCCATTCGGGTATAGTTCGAGAGAAGAATGATGCGAAAACTGGTGGTTTGTTCGGGATTTTCTAACTGTAGGGATTAATCTGTCTGATTTAATTTTACGATAGCGACTTTCTGGTTTACAAAGTTATGAAGCATGGTCAGACGAGCATCTCTACGTCTATCTGCTAAAGGGCGCAGCTTTAGGTGGTCCAACATTTCTGACACACTGGAGGTACGATGGTTGTACCTGTGCTTATTGAGCACATAGCGCGCTGCCCTTCGCTGGACCTTTTCCAACTTGTCAATATTTGTTTGGGTGTGAGGGTCCCATACTGTACAGGCATACTCAAGTGATGGTCGAACTAATGATTTGTATGCCTTTACTTTGGCTGATGTTGAGCCAATTTTAAGATTTCGTCTTGGCTATACCATTACATTGATTGTAGACTTCAAGATTCTGATTGGCTGACGCGTTGTGGTAAACTATTAACAATACACAGAGAAATTATAATCTTTAAACCGCGAGCATTATTTCCCCAATTAGTTGTCAGAAATGGCAGGAGTTACAATTACAAAAGTGGAGAAAACGTAGTTCTATACGTCAATCAATTAATTTATCTTTTGTTTTATGATACATTTGGAATTATTTAAATTGATAAGAATGTCTTTACTGATTATGCCAGGTATTAAGACAACGTTTCGGGAAATAGACGGAAATGGTGATGGCCGACTGACCAAGCACGAGCTGAAAAGGGCGTGTAAAACCATGGGAGTGCGCGTCAAACGGGAACATATGACCTCCATGTTATCGTCAATGGAGAAGTGTGGTACGTTTAACATATTTAGAAATAGATTTAACCATGATTAAATTGACATTAAAAGTAGAATTATTACTGTACATAGCCTGCTCTCTATGTATATAAGGGCCCTTTTACAGGGCGGTTTGTCAAACTGTCTGCCGTTCGAATTTACACTGGTGTTGATCAGGTCGACTATTTTAATCGATCTGCCTAATTTTAAAGCAGAATTACATATTCTAATTTTTGATTATTTACACTCTCTGCCAATGTTACAAAGCAACAAAATATGACATAAATTCATTTGTTTTTGTGTATGCACTTTATATAAAGCGGAAGGATTTCATCGATATGAAATGCTGCTATAGCAACAGAGCAAACTGTTGTTGATATTTGCTTTATTCTTGTACCAGTATGTTGTAAACTTATTGCACTAGTATAAAGTGCACTTAATGAACCAGTATGTAGTGAAAAAGAACGGTACTGGTATGAAGAGTTATGCTTTTAACGGTGTGTGGGTGTCTTGTTCTTGTATATAGTGTACTTCATGTACCGGTATATAGTGTAATTCATGTACCGGTA